TTTATAGATTGCTGCTCCTCTGCTTAGAGAGCCATTAGTACATCATGTTATAATGAGACTGATTTTTAGAGAAACCCACTCTTGTTAGAAGAGTTTAGGGAGTGTTTTTCGGTACCTGGGAGAATTTCTAGTAGTTAAAGATGATCTTGTACTGTTCCTTTAGAGGAACCATACTGCTATGATATGAAATCTTGAGCTCTTCAAGTTGATTGCATTTTAATCACACTTGCTCCGCTGTTCTCCCTGTGCAGAATGTAATCCAGGGATGTGATTTTTGTGACCCACATGAATCATGCAGATCTGTAATAAAAAAAATGTTAAAAAGGGAGGGGGCTGGACGAGTGAAATGGAAAGGATTTGAGGACATCTACAGGCTGACGTGTGGAGTCACGTTTTCTTCCTTTCCAAGTATCAACAAGGTTCTTCGTTTGCGTTCAGCTGCCAATTCCACACCTGCGCAGTGTGTGCCACAGTCGCTCTTGCGCATCAGTGGTTCATAGCGTGTTGGGAAGTAATACAATAATATTACTTTTCCCAGTAAAGAATAGTGTGACGGATAAATATTTCCAAAACAATAATGTTATTATAGTTATCAATCATATTAAGGCTGCCCTATTTTCGACATCTGTAAGTAACGTTGTTGCCATTATTGTGTCACAGTCTAAGATGCAAAGAACATTGTCGTCTGTTGTAAACTTTGTACGACCAGCAAAAAGCTTTTACAGCGAACAATTCTACATTGACTTAGGCTAATTGAAGCATCAAGTCTTTATGTCCTTATGTTAAAGGTTTTGGCACATTATAAATTAATTTCTTGTGAATGCTTGTGATAGGGTTTATAAGGCCTTTTCAGACGGCTTTGATCCGTGGGGTCGCTCTGCGCTCCTCATCAACAGACAGGCAAACAAGCGCTCCACGAGGTAACCATGGCAACGGCTTCTGATCCCATGCAACTGTCGCGGTCGTTCTCGTCTCACACACGCCTACCCGCTGCCAAAGCTGAAAGGTCAAACTTTTTCCTACAGTTTATCAATAGACAGAGACTGATGTTGCTGTTTGATCTGAGTTTCCTGAATAATGTAACTGTATCTTTGACAGTTAGGCCACCAGGTCTTAAACAGGCGACAACCTTTGCTGCTGTCTCTTATTCATTATCTATTAACTTCTACTAAACTAATTTGAAAGTTAGTAGTTATATTATTTAGTTATAGAATCAATTATTTCATGCTGCATGTTGCACATTTAGCGGTTGAAGCTTGGTAAAAAAATGAATATAAAATCATAATTATTATAGAGAGGTGGCGAAGGCGCAGCCGGATTAGACACTTGTCTTTGATTCCCACTGCAGCACATCCACCAAATAAGTTATTGTCATGGGTCCTGCTTTACCATCCATATGCTATAATAGAGCCGCTGCCAGTTTTATCGGGGTGGGGGGGGGGGGTCTCAGTATATTTTCCTGCTTTTTTTGGCCTTTGCCAATCACATGCCTGAATAACACCTCTCAATGGTTTATCTTTATTCACAGGTCAGGCTCTGTGTTATTTTAATTAACCTGACTTGACTGTTACATAAGGCAAATAAGGTGTTAAATTGTGTGTGTGTATGTGAACACGAATGTGCAGTAATGATGTGGTCATGATTTTATTTTATTTTTTATATCTGTTTTTAAGGCTTTATTAACAGTCACTTGGAATGATTGAGGCTTTGCATTTGAGATCTGAATAGAAAACCTGACACATAGTGCGTTCTTAATTTAATGAAGAACATTTTTCAACAGTGTTGGCTATGGTAAGGAGAGTTTCATGCATCCAGTCATAATGTTAGAAACCTTTTTTCTAAAGGGAAGATAGGCCAGAAAAGGAAATAGTCATGGTGCCAGATGGGATTGAATCCTTTTTTGATGGCTTAAAAACTCTTCTAAAAACCAAAAATGAATGCTGTGATTATTCGCCTTACCAAACAGACACAGTTTCTCACTTCCTACACACGGAGAGAGCTGAGCTATCCCTACTGCTGCTTTTCAGAGACCTGTTGGTACCTGCTGTTTTTTTGCAGTTATTTCTGCAACACTTGAGTTTGACGCATAATGTTGTCAGCAGCATAGACATTGTGAAAGAGACACAGGTTACACAAGAAACGCAGACACATTGGCAGCGTTGGGCTCGTCACTTGTGCATTGATGTAGATGATTACGTGGCATTTGGGCGTTTTGGTTGTTCGCCGCGCGGCGGTGGGGTGCTGGCTAGGGGGTGAGCACTGGTCTATGCTGTGTGCGCGCCGCGGTCGGTCCGGGCGCTGCTCTTCCGCGGGTTACACCTCTTGCGTTCCGTCGGCATTGCGGCATGGCATTTTATTTTTATTTTTGTGGCGTCTGTTGGTTGGGTCGGGGTCTTCCGCCTTTGCATCGCGGTGCATCTGGGAGTCATATTTTTGTTTTTTTGTTTTTTTTTTTCTCCCACCCCTATTAGCTTCTGGGGTTCTTGCCTGCAGGTTGCTGTGGTCGGTGTGGCACAGTCGTGGCGTCCCACGCTCACTAACAACTACATTCTTTAACAGGCTTATGTGCACACACATGGCTGTGCTATGTTGCTTATTTATTGTGCTTGACTGTTTCTTGTTTTCATTTTCTCTTAGTTGTCTTACTTTGTCAGCTGTTTATTGCTACTGTTCGACTGGTTGCCCTTTATTATTATTTTTATTGTTTGTTTGTGTTTGTTTGTTTGTTTTTGTTTTTCTCCTCCCCAAGCCCCCCCTCCCCGTTCTATTGCAGGTTTCGTTGCTTTCTGCAATTGGTGTTTCTCTCTGCTATTCCCTTTTGTCCCCACCTTCCATTCCCCTTCTCTTGCTGGTGTTGTCCTTTCTCTGTGCTGTCTGTTTGTGCCCCCCCATCCCCATGTCTGCCCCCCTGTCCGGCCCGGTGACAAATCAATACATAATTAAATAAGAAAACAGACAAAGGAGTATTTTAATACTCTCTTGTTAAAGTAAAATCTGTCTGGCACAATATGGTATCCAGCTCATTATACTCTATACCAAGCTGCTGGGCAGGACAGGTTGGCGAAAAAAAAAAAAAGACGCTGACACAGTCTCGTGCGTCCCTCACCTTTTAGTGCCACACAATTACATAGGAAGTTGTGATGACTGCTTATAGTCATATGAATCATTCAAGCCTGTAACTGAGAAGAATTTTGTATGATAAAATCGCACTCTGGTTGTTTCCTTTTTCCTGTGACCGGCAGATTTAGTCAGATGGCACAGCAGCAGATAATCGTGAGGATGAGACTAATTTGTGGCACCCCGCAGCAAAATAATAAGTTGTTGTTAAAAAAAGGTGCATCATCAGCTGTGGCAAACTGTATCAGATTCAGAGATGATGACACTAATGAAGTAGCTACTAATCACTTAGAGGTTGTGTTTTACAGCACTGGTAACACCGCAGGGCAAAACAAGCCATCTGCACAAAGAAGGCTAATGAATGGATGAAGGCACGCAAGATTACAGCAGGGAGAGTGTGGGCTAAGACATGTTCTTGTTCAGTTTAGTTAGTTTTAAACAAACTCTGGTGCACGTTTAGTTGGATTTGTTTGGGCTGGTGTGAAAGCTGTCAATCGAAATCCAGTGCAGAGCCAACAACTGGACTGAGAAAAGGAGGGTCTAAATTAAATCCAAGATACAATCATATGATAAGCAGTCTGTATAGCCTATATGTATGCAAGATAGAGGTAACGATGGTAACATGTATGGAGGTCAGAACATTAGTTCTGGATTTTCCTGTTATGTCAGGAGTTAAATCCTCTCCAAAACATATTTTTTTGTCCTGTTTCTAAATGGCTGCATTGTTTAGATAATGCTTTTGTCCATAGTGTGTCACAATGGACTCAACATCTGGAGGATCAGTTGAGTTACAGTTTAATAATACTAATAATTCTCGTAATCAGTTATTTGTTTGTAAGCTGTTGGTGACACCAGAGAATGTAATACATAAGAAGCAGTAAAGCGATGGATCACCTGCTGTCAGACACCAGAGTCCAATTTCCCCTCCATAGAGCTTTATTAACATCAACATGTAAACAAACAACAATGACAAGGCGATGACACGAAATGTAAAGTTCAAATATTGGGTAAATGAGGTAACTAAGTTAAAAGTTAAGTTTAAAAGTTAAAAATATAAAGACACAACAATCAGACAAAAGAAAGAAAGACCAAAAAACCCTGAAATCGGAGCAAGAATTGCACATAACCCCGTGTTAAATGACTTTGACTGTGTACATATGTGTTAGCATAGTTATTAAATGATTTACATAAGTACATAAATTGATTATTGAAATCAATTATAAGATCATTTCTGAGTGGTTTATGACAAGCAGATGGAATTATTACTTGTTCAGCTTTAAAAATCATGCTAATCTAATCTACTATCAAAAGACCCTGCTTTTTCAAGTGACCTTGGACCAGTTGTTTGGTCTGCACCAGGCTTTGATTGACAACTTTCACACCAGCCCAAACAAAATGCACTAAACTGGCAAATGCAAGGCAGATTGTTTTAACTGTACCAAACATGGTTGGATTTGAAAGTACCTAAAGATAAAAATTAGAGCCAAATTAACAATGTGTGCAGACAAAGATGTTCATGTCACACAACTTTGTATTGCTTTGTTTAGTATTACTTTAAAAATGAAGGCTAAATGCAATACAAAATATATTTCAAGAATCAGGATCTCTATCTTCATTTGATTCCTATTGAAGTCAGAATTGCACAGCTGTGGTGTGTTTTTATATACAGTATGTTTGCATTGTCACTACCATCAGTCAGTATAAAACATTTCAAAATGTACAGGGAGTACTCTGTTTTTATTGCTGTGTGTGATGCCACAGTTTCACGTGCTGACTCAAGAGGTAGCCCGTCTTGCTTAGATAAGGAGGAGTATGTGATCGTCTCATAATTTGCTGTTTACAGTTTTCTTCTGGTGTAAAGTCATTCTCTGTTTTTCTTACAGTCTCTGTCAGCAGCATGGGCCAGCATCTAGGAAAGAGAGAGTCACCCACAGACAGCAAGGTAAGAGTCCTCACTGTAGGTGCTTTAATGTCTTGTTTTGTCGAATAATAGGCTCTTGAAATGCTTGTGTGTGTGTGTTTTTTGCCGATTGTGATCTGAGAATGAAGCATGTGCTGGAGAATTTTCTTTTAACTTTATCAGTGTGAACCCTAGCCTCTATCAGCCGGACTCTGGACTCAGCTGGACAAGCTTCCAGGCTCCTCCAGTCATACTGATTTATTACCTTCACTGAGCTTTCAGTCAGACTGTTAACCACTTTACCGTATGCATCTTGAAAAAGTCAAAGCGTGACACAGCGCAAAGATGAAAAATACAATATTCTTCACAGGTAGAGTATTTATCTCTAAGGTTTTTATGTTTACAAGTGATTAGAGGATTTTTTGATGTGCCTACGTGTTCATGGTTACAACGGCATACTCGCTCACTTATGGATCACTTATTCAGGTTTTGTGGTAATCACACTGCCACAGGCAACACTTTATATTCATCCCCCAAACGTACAGCAAAGCAGTAATCTATGAATAATGCACACTCTCATTACTTCAGATGATGTAGGCTGTCTAAACCTGTTGTGGGGATATCAAAGCAGTGGAACAGCAAAGTTATGGAGGACCTTCGGGCATGCTTTGATTGCATTGACAGGGAATGTTTTCATGACTGCTACCAAAAGCCTGGATGAGTTCACAGAGGTTGTGACGTCATACGTCCGCTTCAGTGAGGGCTACTTTGTACCGTCATGCACCAGGGTGAGTCATAACAATGACAAACCCAGGTTCACAGAGAAGCTCTGACAGGTACGGTTGCAAGTGGAAGAAGCATTCAGTAGGGGGGCCATGGGCAGGTTCAAAGAGTCAAAGTACAGATTTAGCAAGGTGGGGAAAAAGTTGAAACAGAATTAACTCTGGGAGAAGCGAAACATAACGTCACGCTGCGGAGGCCAATCACGAAAGCCAATAATCTGGTTGATTTCATGTACACAACTTTGATGTGTACATCTGTGTCTGGCTTGCGGACTATGTTGCAAAATACCAATACCAATACCTCAGAGAGCAGCAGTAGTGAGAAAGCCATTGAATCAGAGAAATCATTTAAAATTTTTAATTGTGTTAAAGATTGTTTCACAGCGGTTACGTTCTGAAGCACAAATGAACATGCCCACTCCCCCGCACACCGGCGCACAACCCTGAGCTAATCGCTAACAGTCTGAAGCCCCTCACTCCATCAACGACTTGCACCTGGCCGATGAAGTGAATAAATTCTATTGACACATTGAAAGGTAATGGAACAGTCCTAGCACAGTACCCCTAGCTACATCCACCAGCTCTAGAAGGTCAAAGGTCATTGTGCTGGAGTAAGGACCATGTGTGGGGTGATTTAAATGTATGAAAACAACACACACAGACACATTTTGTATAGTCAGCTTTGTAAAGTACTTCTGCGTAGATGGAATTGTTGAACATTTTCCAGAGATATTATTTTTGCACACTGTATTTTACCACATATCACTTTTCTGCAAGCGTCAGCATCCCACTCTTAATTGAGTCGTGTTGCCGTGGCAATATCCGGAGCACGACGACGAGTCTCCATGGTTCTTGTGCATAGCCCTATGATAACCCCTCCAAACCACAACCTCGCCACAACAATGATCCACGAGAGAACCCGTTTGAACAGGAGAGAGTAAATAGATATTGTGTACATCAAGGCTGACACTAAACCCTCTCCACGTACATTTAACCATTAGCTTTGGACCAGTGATCATCAGGACTGTGTTTGGCTACACCTCCAAAGTTCAATTATGTGACATTAATAATTGACAATCTATATAGCATTTTGTTTCCAACAATAATTTGTCGCCCTGAAAGTCCATTTAGAAATCTCCAATTTAAGCAGTTTTTTTTTATCAGAGCAGAAGCGATGTGTGGAAAATGTTTTAATGTTTCAGTGCACTTGCATCTCAGAAATCAGAAAAAGCTTCATGGCAAGGTAGGTTTTACATAGAAGGAATTTGCTTTGGTATTTTGGTGGCTTACAATAAAATATAAGATATATAAGGAAAAAGCAAGTACTGCAGGTATCTTTTATGACTGTTGAGGTTGAGGGTGACATAAAAACAGTAAACGTGCTGGCTGCTGGATTGTGTTTACTGCTGTTATAGGACTTGGACTTTCTGTCAGCAAGTGGGCTGAACTGCTGCAAAAGGAGCAATTATTGCACTTGAAAGCATCAGGATGGATCAGTGAGTTTGCGAAAAATAAACCCTATATAAACAGAAAGTATGTTCAGATATAAAAAAGCTTGAAGGTCTAGTGGCAAATTAAGTGCAATTTTCTTCTTTCTCTTCTATAACAAAGTCATCAAGCACCTAACAACAGGCTTTTTTTAACTGGCTGGGAAGGAAGGTGCTCTGCTGTGCCCCCCGGGGCTAGTACTTGATGGGCAATGTCTGTCTGTAATAGTGCTGTAATTAAATAGAGCAAATATGTTTGAGATATTTTTTGACTCATCTTTCTGCTCTGTGAGTGCAGAAATTACAGGCCAGACACGTCTCCTGCACGCCAAGTGTGGAGGAGGATCAGGCTTAAACAGGGACAGTAATATCATTTAATGACTTTATGTAATTAACCCCAGCCTTGCTTAAGTCCTTTTTGTCACAGTGTTTCAAAATTACAGGGGCTGTAATAATTTTGGGCCATTATGGCTGAGGCTGCAATCACATTTGAAGAGGTTGCTAGCTTGTTGTGAGCAGCCCTAACCCTAGACTGTGAGCAAAGGCGTGACAAAGAAAAAGAAAAAGAAATATGGAGGATAAAATTGTTTCATTGTCAGCATTTGAGGCTGCAGGCAGCGATGTAAAATCTGTGGACTGCCTTTGGTGGTCTGGCTTGACTGCCTGGCCTGGAATGGGCGGAGTGATCATGTTGGCGTGCTGGGAAAGAGGGGAGCCCGAACCAGCAGGGAGGCTGGTAGCTCAGCTCACAGATGATTTGTTTCCTTTGCCTGTAGAGCACACTCTGGAGAGAGAAGAGCAGGAGCAGAGAAGTGGATTAATTTGTCAAAGTGAAGCTGCCAGGAGAGGTGTTAGGGCACCATGTTGCACTAAAGCGGCATTGTTTGTTTAGCTTTTTATTAACCATTGCACTTCACTCTGCCATTTGTTTTTCCCCCTTTTTTTGGGCTTGATTATCGTGACATTAAAGTCAATTTAAAGGTCTGGCAAAACAGCCAGTTGTCATAGTGACAGTCAAGCAGGAACAGAGCGTGACAGAGTAAGGCGCGTTGTGTTTAGATGCTGCTGTCTGAGTCGTGATCCTTCTCCCAATCTCTTATCATTTCGGGAAGGATGAAATGTACCCATACCTCCTTTGTCAAACCTCAGCAGCAGCTCTGACAAAATGTTTCTCTTTTTCAGGCGTCGGAAATGTTCACACCGCTGATATTTTAGAGCCTTAAATCCCACTTGGAATTATGGAGAATAACACAGACCTCGCTCGGCAATGAGGTGTTTGTCATATTGTATGAGTAGAAAGAAGATGGAATAGTTTGCTCAAATGTTATCAAGTGCAAATATATCTGCGCTGATTAGTGCATATCATAATTTTTGTACAAATGGAATTCCTGATGCATTTTTGATCAGGGCTATGCAGTTTATCCTCATTCACAGGGGAGAGAAGAATAACTTGAAGTCTTGTTCCTCAACTAGATGGTGTGTCATCAACACTGAATTATAGGCCGAGGCATGGAGTGTAGTATGCTCAGATCTTGCCAGACAGTCACTCACTCACCTTGTGTAATTGGATCTCCAGGTTGACACACAAAAAACGGGAAAAAATGCATCTAATAATACACAACTACTGTGAACCATGCACGTCAACGAACCATGCATTTCTGACCCCATTGTGTTGTTTGTGCAGATATTTCCTGCCCAGCTACAGTGAGAGGAATGATTTTTCAGCTATCTCAGGCACCAGCAGTGAGAGTTGTGATATAAAGACCTCAGAGTCATAGTACACGCTTTTTTTCTAGACTTACCAGTTTTTACTGATGCTGAACAATCGGAGAGAAGCCCATTGCAGAGGGGAACAGAGATACTAGTCTCAAACAACCAACCTCAAAAAAACAGAATGCAATGCAGTCAATGCATTTTAAGTGAAGGGTATTGTTGTCACATTTCTCAACTTAGCTGGAAAAATAACATGAAAATGTGACTTTCACTGGCTTTTGCTACATGATTACTATTTCTTTAACTATTACCAGTGCTCTCTCCACCTACAGGTAGAACAGTTCACATTCTCAGATGGCGTTGCAGTTCATTTTGAGAAATGTAGGATATCCCTAACAGAAGAAGAATTGGGTAGCATGCTGGATTTTGTGAAATACAGGAAATAGCTAACTGAAGGAGCATTAGATAAGGTGTATTGAGTAAAGATGGGCACACCAGAAAAAGAAAATTATAAAACGGGTAGCTCAAATCAAGCAATCTGATTGGTTCATATATATATAATATATATAATGACAGTATACAACGGGTATGATGTCAAATTCCTTTGCACAGATCCGTATCACTCCGCGACAAACAGGGTTCGAGTTATAATCTGAGCTTTGTGGGGGTCTCACGCCCCATTTACACCTGGTAATAAAATGCATCTGATACAGATCTGATAGGCTACACAAAAAAGCACAAACACACACACAGCAGTCCACTACTTGCCCCAGATGTCTGCAATATTGCAACAACATGGCTTTTAGGGGGAGGACTAACCAAGGAATTAATATTACAGAATTATCAGAACACCTATGGCCATACAAAAAACTAAAACCACAGACATGGTTGCAGCTCAAGTTTTAATGAGACTTATCTTTCTAATTAAATCCTGTCCAAAAAGGGGCTGTAGATTTTAAATGCTTAGCAGTTGGTCCTTACACTAAAGAGGCTTTATAGGTGCTTTACCAGTTCAACGCCAAGCATGTTGGAGAAATTGTTTTACAGTGTAACTTAACAA